TCTTTTAGCCTTTGGGGAACAGGCGGCATGCTGCGGCCGCCTGCAAGAAGAGGCGGATCCCTGTTCCACTTGTTAAATCGTTTGTTCAGCTCCGTGTCTGAACTCTCGATAATAAGGAAGGTGTTCCGCCAATCCTTCCATTTGTTTGCCTTACCTCTCGTCATGAGGTAACCCCTGTGGCTTGTTAGTTGATACCAGCCGGTACCTCCCGACTTAGGGGTCCGGCTGAGATAGTTCATGTGGGCGAAAGCCTCAAAACTTGGCTCCACCCCGTTCAGTTCGCACCCGGCCACATAGCCGAGTACGTTTACCCAAGAGTTGGGGGCTAACTGCCATAACCCCAGATCATACCCATCTAAAATCCGCTGAACAGCCGGATGTAATGGGAAGCGCAGACCAGCTTTGATGGCCGCCACATAGCAAGCCAAAACAGCCGTCACCATAGCTGGTACCAGCCGGCCAGACGACAGTATCTTCTGGATCCGGCACAAACAGTAAATACTCCGGGCTCATTTTGTGGTTAGCAATAAAGCTCGCCACGTTGTCTCGCATGGTTGCGATCCGGCCCCGGGGCACCCTGCAGTAGTAGGGGGTGTTTTCCTCTCTGTAAGAGGCGGACGGCTCTGCCCAATTATCCCCCTTCTCCACTGCATGGGAACTTCTCGCTTCTTGTAGGCGGTTATGTTTTTCTTCTGAGTCAGAAGAACTATGCTCAGAAGAGCTGGAATCGGACTCGTCCCCTGACGAGTCCGAAGAGGACGACTCCTCCCCTCTCCTAGAGGGGCCCGCCTCCTCTCCCTTAGAAGGAGCAGAAGGTAAATTAGACATGTCCACGGTTAGATGAGAAGGGAACACCTTGGTCCCTCTCTCAGAACTGTCAGCTTGACAGTCGCCTCGTTCCACATCTGGCGCCTGGTCAGATGTTTCGCTAAGGAGTACCCTTTGGGAGGAGCCGTCTGAGTTTGATATTCTAGCAGTCTTTTTTGTTCTGGCCATCACGTTCTGCATAGACACAGATTCAGTCGGACTTTGTATAAAGGGCAAAGATGGGTCCAGAAAAGGGCAGGCGGCACTCCTAGTCCTAGATTCAGCCGTCCCCGGTGACCGGCTGATCACTAACTTAGGGCGTGTCGTGTGCTTCCATGGTGCCATTTCAAAAAATAAAAAGAAAATTAAGAGTAAGAGAACTGAGTTACCTGAATGGATGACAGTTGATGAAGTCCTGAAAGTTCGGGTCAGTCGGCTTGTCAGAACAGGCGGTAGGCAGAAAAAGTCCGAAAATGTCAGAGCAAGTTCAGGGGTCCGAATGTTCTCGCAAAAATTCTCAAATGTGAAAATGACCGAAGTCAGCACTTCCTTTTATAGGCAAAATGAGAAGGCGAAGGGTCGCTTCCGAATTCAAATTTGGGCGGGAGAATCTCCCGGCCGTCTGCAAGGTGACACCTGTAACGGGCCGTCGCCTGTCACCGTGCGACGCCTGTCACAGGCGACACGTGACCAGTCGCGTGCCACCTGTGAGGGGCAAATGATTAGGGGATTTTTATCCACCAAGCACCGTTTGACAAGTGGACCAACCAGGTTCCGCCACGCGTCCTCCATGGACCACTTAAGACACGCCACGTGTCCACCCATGCCAAATGGGACAACCGGCCATCAAGGCCCATTTCAGTCTAGAAGCCCGATCGGCCCTAGGTTTACCTTAAACCTAGAGAGTTGCACGCTTCCCAAGGCTATAAATACTCGATTAATCCTCATTAATCAAGGGAGCGAATAATTAACGGAACAGACCAAATAATTAACGGAACACACTAATAACCGGCTGATCTCGCTAGCAAAGCAGATTACCTACATTAAATACTCTCACCTAGAGAGACCTTATTACTTTAATTTCTGTATTAATTACTCCTTAATCAGGTACTAACTTGACCGTTGGAGGCGGAGCTCTCAGGAGTCTCCGTTATTTTGCAGGTACAGGCGTCCGGTTCCAGTCTCGGAATTGTAACTCTCCCGCAGGACATCAGAAAACCCCGAAACAACATTCATCAAATTCAATAAGATTACAAAATCAATGAGAAAACTAAATTTACCTTTTCCTTCAATTACAATATCATCAAATTCACCACCATCATCATTCTCATGGTCATCATCACCGGCAAAACTAAATTCTTGAGCAACCATTTTCTCACTCCAAAAATTAGAAATTCTCTCTCTATCAATGAAGTTCTCTCTCTAGAAAATTCTCTCTCTAGAAATTCATATCTAAATTGAAAATATGATTTCTAATTTATGAATATCCTAATTCAACCAAAATATATATGGAAATATCCTCTTATTAAAAAGAGAGGTTGTTTTTTTTTTTTAAAGGAAAGTAGTTGTTGTGATTTTTAAAGAGATGTACCAAGCAACATACCACCTGCTGTATGGTAAAATTTTCATTATACTCTCTAGTTTTTTTTACATGTATACACCTAACTGTAAAAGTGGAGGAAGGTTGAAGTTCAACAATATTTAACATTGCATAAATCTGAACTTGAAGAAAACCCTAAGAAAATTTGTGAAAATATAGGGAATGATTATCCCCCTTTAAGGTAGGGTGTTTTCCGTGAGAGGAAAATAAAGCTTCTACAATGGAGGAAGTTCAATAATGAAGGATGATAAAGCTTCATCAATGGAGTGAGAGAATGATATGACGACTTATTAATAGGACTGTATAAAGAGATATAATAAAATCAACACTTATTTTTATGTGAATTTTTAATTAGTTTTTATAAATGTTTTAAAAATAATGACAAATAGTTTTCGCTTTCATGAATTTTTTGGTAAGTTCGTTCCTTTTATGGAAATCTCCTTTGATCTAACCTTCTACCCCTTTTTTTTTCTCCCTTAACTCGAACCTCTAACTAGACGTCGTCAACTTGCTTCGTGTTAGCCAACAATGCACCATAGTGTGAAACTATTATTATTATTTTTTAATATGGTAGCACAAATATCAAGATTCTTTTAATTTATCTATTAATTTACTGAATTGTCATTAGGAAAACATTTCTTATTTATCTAGGTGATTAACTTGAATTTTCGTGAAGGAGAGGTGTAATTAGACAAGTGATCAAACAAGGTTATGCCGTGGAAGAGTAGGCATTTGTGGTGGTGGTGGTGGTGGTGGTGAGTGGTGAACTGGTGACAAGTGTAGGAGAAGGTCAAATGGGTCAATTGGTAAGATTGTAGTGAAAAGTTAGAGGCGATCAGAACTGGTTATTGGGTAGGGTAGCCCAATAATAATAGGGTTTGGGCCAAGTTTAAAGGGTTTTTATCAGACATGACCTTTGTAGTATAGGGTCAATATAGAGTCAAAATATTTTTCCAATTTTTTTTGGTGTTTAGAGAGCCACAAGGGCGAGGGTGAGAATCGATCTCAGAATTTCCTGAAACCGGGAGGTTATTTTTCCAATTTAATAGACAAACAAAATAGATAACATAATAATACTTACATAGATAAATTTGTATTCATATACACTGATTAATGACTTTGTTGTTTCAAACAAAAAATAAAAAATAAAAAATAATGACTTTGTTCAATATTTATTTTAGTTGATATTTTATTGACCCATCCATTATTGACCCGTGATCTACATAAGCCCGATCCACTATTGACTTTAAAAATATGACCCGACCCGCCCAATAACCAGGTGCAGAGGCAATATCTATAATAATCTAATATATATATATATAAAGGGGAGTTTTTCCCCGAGTTATGATTTAATTTTCTTAGCGCACTATGTAGGATTATAAATTTAAGTTGTAGCCAATTAAATAAGAGATTATTAATTTCTTTTACAATTAAATAATTCAAATGCCACGTACGAAAAATTGACGAATGAGATTTTAAAGTTTAAATTAATTAAATACAAAATATTATTTTTAGAGCGAGATTAGGTATTTTATCTAATATTTTAAAAACTAATATAATAACAATTTAATCACATAAATATGAAAATATTTTTTTTAAAAAATACTAACAAACCGTGCATCGCACGGGCTTCATCTAGTATTATTAAAACCTAAGGGAACAACATGGTCATGCCATTGTGTCACCCTTCCCACAACATGACTAGGCGACACATGTGTGTGAGGTGACATCTTACGTGTCACGTCTTTCCCCAATATAAATTAAAACTCTATAACTTTAATTAAAAAAAAAAACAAAAAACTCTTCATATGTATAACCTCCAAATTTAATTCTATAACTTTAATTCTCTACAATAATGTTTAATTTTCATCAAAAACTCTTCATATGCATAACCTCCAAATTTTAATTTGACATGCTTATTTTAAATATATATTAATGAAAGATCATGTAGATAATTACTCTGTATATATTTCACTCACTTATTAATAATTCGTATTGTTTAACATTAATCCTTTTTATTAATTTTGATCAAATTTAATTATAAATTTATGATTTATCGGGGCATCGCTCGGACCAATAACTAGGGTTCGTTTGGCATTGTTGTGGTTTTCTGTTTTTTAGTTTTTTGTTTTCTAAAAGTATATGATATGAGTCCCATAATGCATAAAAAATTATATAAACTTATTAAAATTATGATAATTATCAAAACTGACAATAGAAAAGTGAAAACTCCTTTTTTTTGTTTCCTGTTTTTTTTTTTTAAAAATGAAAACCAAAACTGATGCTAAACAAACCATACTTTAACAATTCATTAGTTGAAGAATAGAAGTGTTGGCTAATTCGATAACACGCGTAAGAAGACACGTCAGCCAAAATAGATATCGTAAACTAGGCCAATGATAGCGCGCGTGATGAAAAAATCGTGAAGAAGGCGGTTGTTATGGAAAATTTAAAAAAGGAAACTGAACTCGAAATAAAATCATAACATCGCCTATAAATAACCTAATTCTCCTTGATAAATCTGCTCCTGAATTAAAATTAAATCAACCAAAAGACCTTCTCTTCTTTCTTCTCTCTAACCTCTCCTTTAAAAATGGCAACAGCGGCGATTCTTCTACCTCCCAGCTTAATCCAAGATCAATTCTCCTCTCGCCGTTTCCGAAACACCAACCCTAACCCTAGAAATCACAACTCTCTTCGTTCTCATCGTCGCAAAAGAAGTCCTTCCGACGGAAATCGCCGACCTAATCTTGATTCTCTCTCTTCATCGCCGCCATTAAAGACGCCTGTCTTGGGCCAGGTCAAGATCCTCAAGAGAGGCGAAGAATTAAAGGCAAGAGTGCTGTTCGGCGGAGAAAATCTTGATTTAGGGTTACAGATGTGCTCCACAAATCGATTAGGTCCAGATCCGGATGTTGTACAGAATCAAATTAGGGTTCCGGATCTTTACGCTGGTACTACTTCCATGGTTTCTTCTCCTCACCCTAGCGCGCTCCCTTTCCCGGCGAGTTTGGTCCGGAAAAGCGAGGCGGAGAATAATCTCAGAAAGTTGCTCAAGATTTGATTACACCGTCCAAGAATTACGAATTCGATTTGAGGTAGTTGCTCAGAATTTGATGCCAACAAGATGTAGTTGATCCGTCGTCGGTGTTCTATGGTTTCCTTGATATTTTTTACAGAAGGAAATCATAGCTTAGGTACTCTAAATGTTTTTTAGTAGCAGAATTATGGCAGTTTATTGTAATATACGAGTAATGTTCTATGTTGGAGGTAGGGTAATACTAGGGTTCTTGGGCAGAAGTTGTTTAGTTGTTATGGAGTAGGATATGATGATCAATTGTCAAGTTTAGAAGAAATAACACTATCTTTATATGTATTTCGTTCACGTATTGGAATAAAAGTTGTATGCTTCTTTCTTAAAGAAGGCTTCAATTCAATCTTTTACAATCTATCATGCTGTATATTGTTCGCGTTATCTAGTTTTGCTTGTTGTCATTGAACATAATCACCTGCAAGTTTCAACTGCTCAAGTGGCTCTAATCAATGAGGATTAGATATGGTAATGAGGATTAGATATGGTAAAGTTTTTGGATCGGCACATATGATGTTATAATTAAGATCATGTTGGATGAATCTTTTTTTTTTCCAGCTTTTGAATTGTATCATATTTGAATATGGCGATAGTGCATATTGGTCTGTGGATTGTTGCAGGTGTTCATGATTCATGTCAGTGCTCTATAGATTTACAGAGCATACCAATATAACATCTGCAATTACTCAAGATATTGTGTGATGATATTGTGTGATCTCTGATGGTTAGATTGTGTAGTGGTAAAAGGATTTGGTATTGATGCCCTTTTATTTCTTGCCGCATAACTAATCTTGAAAGACCAGTTATAGGAGAGTGGGTGTAGCAGAGGCATTAGGCGCCTTTACCATCCTTCTTGAGTAGCAGAGAGTTGTTAGAAGCAAACATTCACTTTGATGAAGGTTTGTTTATTATTTTATTGCAATCTCTTCTGCTTGTCATTGTCCTTTTAGCTACCGATACTTGAATTTTGTACATGCCATTCTCTATTTTGTGTGATTGGTGATTGGAGCTAGAGGAAGATCTTTGATGAGATATGTATCTAGCTTGATTGCGGTACCTGAATAAGTTCTTTAAATGTCATGAACCTCATTTGTTTATTTTTACATTCACAGAGTAATGAAACCATGGTGCATTCTGGTTTCATTATTCAATTTTGGACGGCTTTGATGAATCATTTAAAACCATACCATTTTCCCCAGCAGGTGTACTGAGTCTTACAGGTTGCAATGGAGCCATGGAGGTATGATTTCATTTATTCCAGTTTCTACAAAATCGATATGATAGTGTCTCTCTATGTGGTGATGCAATTGACAATGTCTCAGCTGCTATGCTGTGTCACTTCTTTGTAATTTTCATGTTTCTTTGTCTAAAATGTGTCCCAATTGTCATTAAGGGAACAAGATGTCAAGATACCTTTCTTTTTAATACGGCGATATGTTTTGAGATATATTCTTTCTTTGTGAAGAGGGAAGTATTTCAATGAGCTTTCTGTTATTGCTGATTTATTTCCTGAAGCGAATATCCAACATTATTTCGAGGTGAAGGTAGGCAAATAGCTGAACTCTTTTGGTAGGCAAATTAATGAGCAAATTTGACTTTTGTTGTGACTTGTGAAGTTGTGAGTACCATCACACACATAATTTGTGAAATTTACAACAGGGTAATTTACTTTTGTATCTATTTTATTTTTTTGATTATATATGTATTTTTTTTATGGAGAATGTCTCTATAGGAAGGATGTAAGTTTTGTGCATTTAGACCTTCTTAGGGTCAAGAATATGTGTTATAATTTCATACTGTCACATTACAACTTTATGCTTATGTTGAGAAAGCAATGGTTAATAGTGATTTTATCTTGAAAGTTTTGTGCTGAAATTGCACTCCACATTACCACATAGATGTGAAAGATTACAAATTTTAATTTTATTTGATTATTTTTTATTGGAAAGGAATAAACTGTGATTTTGAAGATGTAGATACTTAGGCTATAGCAATTGCGGGAAAGATGTTCAGGCCTAATGCTCTCATTTCATATTATGTATATGTATCCAAGCCTCTCTTGTATGAGTACACACAAAAATTATCAGGGCCAGAAAAAAGCAAGTATAAATACATTCTACAACAGCTATGCAGTTGTGTTAGCAGCACCTATTCAACTTAGCTACCATTAATTACAGACTCCTGGGGCATTATCCTCTTCCAAAACCAATGCTTTTGCCATAAAAGGATCATCTCTTCAATCGGTACATTCTTAGTCTCAGGCAAGAACAAGAGTACAAATATGGTCATGACGGTAACCCAGCCAGCGAAGAACAAGAAAATCCCGAATTTGAGGTGGCATAGCAGATATAGGAAAGACTGTGCAATTATGAAAGTAAACAGAAGATTGACTGCTACTGTTATACTCTGCCCTGCTGATCTGGTTTCCAGCGGAAATATCTCACTAGGGACGGTCCATCCTAGGGGTCCCCATGACCACCCAAAGGCCAGCACAAAGAGGCATATCACAATCACCACTATAATGGAATAGCCCTTTGATAGTTCCCCTGCTGTTCCTAATTTTATTCCCAAGATAATTGCCACAATAACCTGTTTGATGATGCAAGTTAGTAACAATTGTTGTAGTGTATGATGAAGACAATATGTTCAGACATCTTCAATATAAGTAAAGAATATTATGCTAAAAGTTATAGAATTTATTCTAAGTCATAATTTCATAATTTACTGAAGTCTAACTCTACAATTGTTTTCAGGGAATTCATAAAGGCTTACTTGACAAGTGATCATCGTTATTCCTCCACTGATAAGCAGCGCCCGTCTTCCTAGTCGATCAACAGCTGCAATGGAAATCAATGTCGAGGAAGCAAGCACAGCTCCTGTTAGAGCTGAGGAATAAAGAGAGGCGTTTGCAGCAAATCCCATACTCTGAAATAGCACAGGAGCATAAAACAGAATAGAATTTATTCCTGTAAGGATCTGAAATGTTGGCATGAAGATGGCCATAATCAGCTGTGGCCTGTTCCTCCGCTGTAAGATGTTTCTGAAAGGGTGCTTAATTGACTTGGCAAACTCACTCGCTTCAACCATGTCCTGATACTCTGCAGAAACATTCTCTGTCCCTCTGATCCTTTCTAGAACCTTGCGCCCTCTCTCAGTCAATCCTCTTTCGATCAAGCTGCTGGGTGTCTCAGGGACAAGTATTCCTCCGATTGTCATCAAAGTTGCTGGAAGTGCTGCTAGGCCAAGTGATAGCCTCCATCCCCATGGTTCGAGTTTTGATGTTCCATAGTTGATCATGTTTGCTGTGAAAATCCCTAGGGTGGTTGCTAATTGGAACATCATGTTCACACCCCCTCGTATATGTGTTGGTGCCATTTCAGACAAATAAAGAGGAACTGCCTGAAAGCAAATGATTGAATTCGAGTCATACTTTTGCATGCCATGGACCGATGGTAAGTAAGTGAGAGTATAAATTTTTGTCAGGATGCTTTGCTCTATGCCCTATAAAGCCAATTTATATACTAGTATAACACTCTTAATGTGCTGTTGTATCTCACAAAATCTTCCATTTGGCTTAAGTTAAGAAGTAATATATTTTCAATATAAATATTTACAAGCTGGCTATAATTTTGTGGGAAGCAACCAGTTTACAAAGATAAATAGGAAAACAAGGGAGTGAACCTGATTTCCAAATCCGATGCCAAATCCAAGCATGATTCGGCCCAAGAGAAGCATGGCAAGGTTGAGTGCTGCAGCATTAAGAGCAGCCCCAACAAGGAAGAAAAGGCCACCACATATAATGGTAATCTTGCGGCCATAGTTTCTGGTAACATTGGAGGCAACCAAAGAGGCAACCAAGCCAGCTAGGTAGAGTGAAGAAGTGAAAGCAGCAAGGCCCTGATCATTGAATTTGCAATAGTTGTTTTCAAGGGCATGTTTCTTCTTCACGTATACCCCATGAAAGAAATGGTTTAGAAATCCATCCATGGATGTCACTCCACCTAAAGTTTCCACAAATGAACATATTTTAACAACCGATACAAAATAAACCAAGTTGTAGATATGACGACCCATTGAGGTTGCTACATGAGTTCACAATTTACAAGTAAATGGACTATGTCATTTTGTTTATAATTAGAGTTATGCTAAAATGAACTTCATATTCTAATTTAGTATTAGTATTATAATTTTTTTTGGAAAAATATATATGCAACCTTATAAGAAGCTAAAAATGGAAAGAAAAGACAATAATAAACATTTATTAACCGATTTGCTCGTAAATTGTCGATAAATTTTCAACTTAATACTGAAAAAGGAAGTATTATTAATGCTTATATGCAGCCATTTTATTTTTCTACAATGTTTGATTTTTTTTTTTTTTTACATTTTTATAACAAATCCAAATTATTTGAACTTTGATGTTCAAGCTAAAGCATATAATTTGATGCTTGTATTTGTTTTAAAAAAAACAATAAAGAATAATAGTTATGTCCAAAATAAGAAATTAGTAGAATTATCAAGTTTTTCTTTGTAAGTGTAATAATATGAGTTGATGAATTTAATGATGTTGCTAATGATATATGGATAAGATAAGCTTCTAGAAACTTAGTCATGTAATGTACTCCATCCGTACCTAAATTACATTCGTAATTCTATCATTTATTCCACACATAATAGATAGAAGTAGGAATGTAATTTAGGGACAGAGTGAGTAATGTAAAGTGTGTTATTACTAATTAATTATATTTTGTTAATTGAGTTGTAACATATGACAAAGCCCACCCTGAAATTGATAAATAAGTACGGAACAACTTTATTTTTAGAGTGGTTGACGAGAAAAGGCACTCCAACAAACTCTGAGTTAATAATTACCAAAAAGGTGTTAGATCAGACATGATGAGAGCAAAATAAATGGAGAAAAACATGTACTCATCTGCTATTAATTTACATAATTGTGTTTTATTATGGTGTTATGAAAAAATAACTAAATATAAGTGGTACAGTTAATTAAGACCCAAATAATTAGGCAGGATGCACGTTGTTCTTGTATCTGTAATATATACAAGTATTGGCTAAGTTAGATCCAATAAGTTAATTTGAAGCTTCAATAATTCTGGATTAATGTACTGTATCATCATCATTATCATAAATAATGACAGTAAGGTTTGATTATTGTCGTCAAATTTTCCAATAAAAAAAAAAAAACAAAGGAAGAAAAGAGACCTGAAATGCCAATGTCATAACCAAATAAGGAACCACCGGTAGCAGCAACAATACAAGCAATGATAACATAAGAAGTGACTTTTCCCTTGTAATCCTTTGCTCTCTCCTTGGCCACTCCCACCGCTCCCATCGATCCTCCTGCCATATTGCTGCGTTCTTTTTCTTTATGAATTTGAATGATATATATATAATTATATGTATCTCTCTGTTTCTCTGTTGTAATATGTATATATGTGAGCAACTTAATAAGAAACAAACAAACAAATAAGAGATGAGAAAATAGGAGGACAGGAGAGAATAGAAGAGGAAGGTTGGTGGTAGGCAAGTGATAGAATTGAATTGAATGGGTTCGTTCTAGTATTTGTTTATAATTATTTCCTTAATTGCCTGTCTTTATCCGATCCTTACTCATTAATTACTCCTAAATCACAACCCCAAGTTTCTTGTTATTATCTTCGGACATCATTTTTACTTAACTACACTAGCTAACTAACAAAATAATGACTAACTACATAATCATACATATATCTGCAAGGGTAAATGTTTTTAATAGGATAAAGTACAGCTAATAGTCAAATCTTTTTTACCATTTGTAGTTATATTAATCTAGATTATGGATGAGTGTGTATACATCCATAGTCATATCATCGTCTTTATTTATATCCACAACAAAATTTAAATTACAGCTAATGTACTATTTTAAGAGTAGAATCCTATTGTTTTTGTAGTAGTTTTGCCGTAATATTTTCAATATACTGGAAAATGACATTAATAAATAGAAAATCGTGTAAGCTTGTCTTGCCTTTGAACTTTAGTGATTAAAAGAAGCAATACTCATTTTCTTTTAGATTTTAAATTAGCTAATACAAGTATTTGTTTTTATTATAAAAACAAGAGTTTTTGGTGTCAAATTGCTAACAAGAAGTATAATATTGGTGGTCAGAAGTCTTTGTTTCTACCCAATAATTACTTGATCAATTAGATTGTCTGGCCATATAGGGTATGGGATGCAATTATTTTTTACCTAAGATATAGAATATTCATTAAAAAGAAATTAAATGAATATCAACTGAAAAACAAAATAGCAGAAAAATGAATGTAACTCCATAAATCATCATAAAACCTTAAATCTGCCAACCTAACTGACGTGTTAATAGGGTTAGAAATTAGAATGATAAAGAAAAGTCAAAGAAAGAAAAATAAACAATAGGCCAATAGCAGATTGAAGATGCCGTAAACAAAGAATTTAAGTTTCAACGGAGTAAGTCCTAAGTCGAGCTAATCAATTTTTTTCTAACGTACGTGCGCAATACTCAGCCACATTGTCAACTTAAATTTGTTCATACTTCATACCAAGTACAGTACATAGTTTTATAACATGCCAAGTTTCTCTAATCTCTTACTTAAATAGCATGGAGTAAAGTCCTTAATTTTTACCACGGATTATTTTTTTAGGTGTTTACAGAGCCGCAAGGGCAGGTGATAAGAATCGATCTCAAAACTCTCTTAATTTTTACTATTTGGTGTATTTATTAATGCGATGGAACTAGTCAATTGAGATAATAATATGGTATTATTGGTGTACAATACAGAGTATATTATCTTAGTATTAATTAGTATGATTATATGAGATGATTTTACTATTTTACCTAGAATAACTTAAATGACTAATTATTCTTTCAACTTGTGTTTAATTTTACATTATAATCCTTTTTTTAACTACACATTAGCGTAACCATAAAATTAAACTAGATCATCACCTCTAAATGTAAAGGAGCCTAATTTACTTGATTACTAATCTATAAGCATATGCACAAACTGGCACTTTTGCACCAACACTTAAGTTGGTCAACCAACAATGATATTTAAATACAATTTGAAATACGAAGTAAAATATTAGAAATTCATATTTGTCTTTCTTGCTAATTTCAAATACTTTAATTCCTAATTGGATGAGAATGATTGAAATTAATTTTCAAAAGTTAAATTAGGAATTGAAGCACTACAGGATTGGAGAATGGTTACATGATCCTAGGATGATCATCTAAGCCAGCACAGTTTGTTGGACTAAGGACAGATAATATAATAGAATAGAGAAATCTATAACATATAATTTGCCACTATTCACTAAATTTGAATAAGAAATCTACTGGTATATGTAATACGAGGTACAAGTCCCTGCATAAGATAACAAGTATATGAGACTGTAAAAAATGCCCTCAATTCTAGATGATTTTGTGAAGTAATTAAGGGCGGCGCATCATTTACATAATCACGCTACACTAAATCCTTCCTCTATAGACGAGTATTCTGCCAAATCAGAACACTGATATGGCAATGAAGTGGAGGAGGTCATTGGTCGCGATAAGACAGTGCAAGATGCTACAATATGTTTAATGTTTAACTCAGAATGGCACTCAAGAAACCCCTGTAACAAAATACAACATAAAAAAGTAAGTATCAAGGGGCTTACAAAAACAAACTTTATGTTAAATATCGCGCTATCCTCTGATCTTACCAAAAACCAGACGAATTCTTCAGTTCTCTGCAACACAACAATGAGAATTAATCAGCCAATGTGACCGGGATATTGCAAAATATAATACGAATTATGTACTAAGTTGAATCATCAAATTTAAATGTTACTCTTTATTTTCAGACAAATTCAGTGTTACCTTGGCTTCCCTAAGAATGCATTGTTAATGTCATCAGAAGTTGGCTTCTTCTCAAATGTGGACAGCATGACATACTTTTCTTTTCCAGGAGCTTCGTCTACCCTCTTGTACACTTCATATGGGAAGGGGTACGACATTCTGTGGAATTAACATGTTCATATGATTTTCTTGCTCCACATAATGCAAAATTTTTTGGCAAAGAACATGAACTTGGTTTTCTGATTTAGTTCAAAATTCAAAATGACAAGTTCATGGCAAAAATACCTGAGAGCACCCATGATTGGGTACTGAGTTCCTGCATAGTAGAGAAGCCGAAAGGAGTAGCAATTCTCAAATGACTCGGCATACTCCAATCTCTTATCACGACCCATTGTCTTTGAAGAACAGAATAGTGAAAATTTAAGATTTTGATAAATAATAAGCAAAAAGAAACAGATTTTAAAAAAGAGAGGTCTTTTTAATTACCTGCATGATGCCACTTGAGCCAGGCAAGTCCTGCATCAGAAGAGGGGAATCAATGGTAATTATAGCAAACTCTTAGCTTGAAAAGTATCCTCTCAAGAACATGCAATATGTATATGGCATTAGGAAATTAAACCTTGAGACGCGGATTTATGAGAATAACTGGACGACTCCCTGCAGCATCAGTCATAGCTCTCAAATCCTGCAAAGGAATATCATCAGACAATTATAACAGATCATTTTAGGGACAGGATGATACCATGGGGCATTGAATTTAATATTAGAAATTTATGGAAAATGAAGGTCCTTACATCAATGATACAATTTCCAAAAGCATTCTGAGGAGCCACTAGAATAAACATGTCATCCTGTTCATCAACCTCATTGCCACCTACAAGTTATCCATGTTATAAATCATTGAACTTACAAACATCATATAAGTGGGAGCAAGGAGGGTTACTGAGACGGTTTGTTGCAACTCCAGATAACAGTGAATTATATGTTCATAAAAACTAATTTTGATGTTGCTAATACCTATGGAACCTATGTTGATGAAAGTCCCTTTGGCCTCATAATCACCCCAGTCCATGAACTCTAAAATCTTTCGAGTGCCTGCCAACTGTAATGGCATTCCTGCCAATGCACCTTCACCCATTGATCCTTGGACACAAACCTAAGTATAGGTGAATGTTAGAAAAAGGATTAGAACAAGAGAGATTATAAAATGAGTGGTTGAAAGCAAACCAACCTTCACTCGTTTTCCATCATCAGCAAATGAAAGGGCTATGACTCGAACAAGCTCCATCAGAGTCCCAATTCTATAAACATCCTACAAAATCACATAAATATGATCAATTTTCACAGTTTAAAAAAGATGCTTAGAAAGAAACTTGCTTACCGTGGATGGGTCCAGCTCTGGAATACTGATCTCCACCTGTCAGAATTAAAGATAGAATTCAGGAAAAACCATAGTTTAGTAACTTAACCATTATCATCAATTGAAGTTCAAGGGAGAAAATAAGAGGTCATTGGTCAGAATTTCAATATAATTTAGAAAGTGCACACATTGTTTTCTGGTTTTCTTAAAGTTGTAGAATGAAAGGGATTGGACAAAACAACTTTCCTTCAGCCTCCTTTTTCCATCTTTTACAGCTCTCAGTGTAGCTTGCAGCACATCTTCATAGAAATATTCTCTGATTTCTCTGGAATGTGGAATATTATTTAACCTTGTAGGGATTCCTCTCCACTTATCCTGTAAAAGGCTAAACTAAGGGATCAAATGTAACAGATAAGTTCAAACATGGGGTTAATCTATTCCTTGTATTCTTATTACCTAAAAGAGGGGAGAGATGATGAGGGATAAAACTTTCAGAGCATTTTACCTTGTTTGGAGTTGCAAGATTAGAATTGCTGCTCTTAGTTACTGCATTTCCTGCATGAAAATGCTCCATGACTGTTTAAATAATTCTCCAGTGTTAAATTGAAACAGCAATCAGCTCACACGACTGATACATGTCACGATGAAGTTGAATCATTAAGGTAGCACTCATAATACATATTTTGTAACCTTAAGTTTCACCCTCGAAACTGATAATAATAAGTGAGAAGCTTTTGCTGGGACATAGAAATCACTGCTGTGAAAAAGAGAATCAAGATCTCACCTGTGGTGGCAGCCTTCAGTTTTTCATCCTTTACTTTGTTCAATAAAGAATTTATTTCTCCAAAAACTACTTCTTTTAGGCGATTCCATCAATCTAAATTTCCCAAACATAACTTAGATAAACTTCAGTACAGAAAGCTCTTAGCTTTGAGCAGAGAAGAAAAATTACATGATATCAGTAATTGAGGGTACCTTTTTTCACTATATTCATATATGTTGTTAAGACTGCCTCCACATTTCTTTTTATATATCTCCAGACGAGATATCACTGGAAAGGGAATTCATAAGTCTGTTGGTATAGTGAAGAGTGAAGTAGATAATATTAACTACAAAGACAAACTTTGGCACACACTAGGTCCATTCCTAAAGAGTAAAATCAGTAGATATTCCTCCTCAATGTGCCGAACAGAACAATTAAATCAGTGTGAAATTCGTGCATACTTGTCAACGTTATTTTTATTAAGGAGGTGAGGTAGGCATTATAGACACTCACAATTTAGGATCTCCAAATTTTGTTATATATTACATGGTACCTAATTTCACCTCAAAGCACAATGCCAGCAAGGGTACATACTCCAATATGGAAATGGACACTTATAACTTATATGCTACAAACCTTGT